TGGCAGCAGGGAGAGGGGGTGGTAGGTGTGGGGATTGAAAGGGGGTGGCATTTGTTCACAGCTGGAGCCTAGCGCCTCGGATAATCTCCCACCAGAATAGCAGATCCGTCGGCTGGCTGGTGAGCGCCCTTTGACAGGTTTTGACAGGGCTAACAGCGAGGCAGTGGCCACCGCATCGATCATCACATAGCTTTCTAATCAGTTCCACTAGAAATGCACCTGAAGTGTGCATCTTCACTGATTTTTGCATACATGCACTGACCTGTGCTGGTGAAGCCGGGCCCAGGTGCACCCATTAGTACTCTGTAGCACGCGCATGTAAGCATGCTCAATTGAGCGCTTCATCCCGCTGAGTGAACACGGCAGACACGGCATCCTGTCTGCTCCTGAGATTTTCATTTGCATTGGTCAGCCACACGTAGGCACTGAGGTGTGCGAGAACATTGTTTTCAAACGAGGAATGATGTTTGCTCACAGGTTTGGTTTTTTTATGCCTCTTTTTTCTGTTTATACACTTTGATTCTGACTGTTTGTGCGCGTGCACTGACATTTACGCAGGTGTGATTATTTAGGTATTCAGGTGTCAGATACATGTTGCATACATGCCTAAGTGCGTGTGACTGACTGACAGGGTTGAGTAGAGTTCTCATCGGGTTCAGGTTTCCTAGGAGCCCGGTGGCAGTGTGAGTCCCTTAACCCTCGTGCCTGAGGCCACGGCGTCTCCAGCCCTCTGACAGAATAACAATCTGCCCGCCAGCTCTTCCAGAGCCCCCAGACTCCTTCCAGACCTCAAGTACACGCAGGCCGGCTTATTGCTCAGCCCACACCTGATCTACCACTTCTCACTTTTTATGCGATCTGTCATTCTCTTCTCTGTCTCTCTCCCAATCATGCTCCAGGCACCATCTGGGCTTTCAATAGGTCTCATTAATGCCAGTATTGTCCAGAATGGCTCCCTCTCAGGGTATCTGGTCATTAATGACACTTAGTGAAAAACACATCACATACCACCGAACAATGAAATTGCTATTTTGGCCAGAGGGACTGAATTTGAAACAGAGTCATGATATGAGTTGCATATTCCCCTAAGGCTGGATGGCAGGCATACAGATACTATAACAGACAGAAGTATACTGTAGCTAGGGATTATGTTCGGGAGTGTTGGTCTCAGGCTGGCTAGAGAATTCATTTGAAACACTTTCTGCGAGGCAGACTGAGATACTCTGTGTTTTGTACATCATTATGAAGCTGACTGAAGTTTTCCGATGCGTGTATTGCAGTGCCAATGCAGTGAGCAGTCGTGACGGCCTGGACACAGAGACTGGTACAGAGTCTCTCCTAAGCCACCGCAGAGAGCGAGAGAGAGAGCGCGCACGGAGGAGAGCTCGAGAAACTGAGCGTGAGTATTATCAGCCAGGAACAGATGGATCCCAAAAACGCAATTATCTTGTCATTTCCAACTTATTACTTTTCAGTACCTCTCCATTTAACTCTCATACTCCACACAAGTCAATCACCAAAAAATGTGGACGGGAAGTAGACATGTATGAAAAAAGGTCCCTGGGGCTCAAGTGGTACACGTTCAACTGCAGCTATGTTAAAGCAAAAAGTTCACTGTATGTCAGCGTTTTTGGAATAGTTGGCCAGTAGTTGTCTTTCTTTTCTGTTTCTTCTGTGGCTCTCAGGTCTGAATTATAACAGGAGTCTGTTGCAGTCACTGTTGAAATAAAAAATGCCTCCATTCCATCTGGAAAAGAAATTGATTGGATCTTGACTTTAAAAGCTCCTGAGAACTGTTATCAAGTGCAAATGCATTTGCTTTATTGTGCTGACATTTGACTACAGCAATTTCTATTACAAGCTCTTCGGTAGGAGAGGCGCAGCACTTTCCTGCTCCTTCGCAAGAACTCCTATTTGCAGGCTCAGTGTTTTCAGTAAGGGAGGCTGTCTGTGCTATCCACAACAGAGAACAGGAAGGTTTTGCACATAAGCACATTGGTGATCAGTAGAGGTACCCGCTTTCATCCGGTTTCTGTCCCACACAGGTATTTTTGACAAAATTAGTTGGTTTTTTGGCACCAAGTAATAAACAATCGCAGTCTGCCATTGTTTTCACTGACAGCAAAAATCACTGTGCTCTTCTCTCTCGCTTTCTTTCTCTCGCTCCCCCCTTCCCCTTTGTCCTCTCTTCACAGCAAGCCTGGCTCTTTGCATCCTGCACTCCAGGCTCATTAACTAAATACTCATTAATTTATGTGGTGCAATTAGCATCACTGATTACAGCATCAGGTTGGGGTTGTATGGAGGGCTGTAGATGGGGAACAGATTTATCTTAGCAGACTATCTGCACATGAGCATAGCCAGTGATTTCATCGTGATCACGCTGGTGCACTCCATGATGATGCTTTTGACTTGGCACAGACATATTGCTGCTGCCGCTGCTGCTAACAGCCAACTGAACATCTGTTGTTTTTTGCATGTGAGAAGGATCACAAACTCAATGAAATATACATTGTTATCCACCCCGTGGTCTGTGTTTACTGACTTCAATCCAATCTAGAAGCACATATACTTTCCCGGAGAAACTCCGAGAGGAGCTGGTTCATAAATTTGTGTAACAAGGTCCAATTAAGTGTAATTCAGCTTTAATTTCACCGAGTGACACAGCGAGACGTAAAGACAGATACCTCCTCCCACCTCTGTGCCTCACTGCCTGCAGCATCATCAGCAGCAGCAGCAGCAGGAATTCCCCTGTCACCTTATACACATGCGAGCGTTCCTCGCTGTTTTACAAAGATCGGTTAAAATGTTCAGACTTGTTCAAACTATTCTCTCTCTCTCGTCTTTCTCAGTTTTCTTTCCTGCGCTGTAGCATTCAAGGATGAATAATGGAGCAGTTAAAAAATTTAAGAGGGAGAACAGGTGCAAGAGTACCTCATGGAGTTATGGGATATGATCTGTTTTAAGGCTGCCAGGTGTTCTGTATCTTAACCAGTTGTATTAGAGGACGACTGTGGCCAACAAAGGGGGGGGGAGCGTTCCCGTGGCATTAAATGTTATGCTGTACAGAGCCGTCAGGATTTCAAGGCTGAGGTCAGAGAAGACACAGTTAAGCCTGAGCACTTATGTTTGTATTAAAGTATTACACAAAGCCTGCAAAACAGCTGGTGAACATAAACTACTCTCTGTTATGAAAAAGTGTCTTCAGCTCATTTTCCTGTTCTTGTTGTATTAGGGCTGCAAAGCTTTTGTGATTTCAATCACTCGACAGTGTTTTCACCTGAGGAAGGGAGGGGAGAAGACAGCTTATCGTATAAAATCACATATTATCTTCTCTCTACTTTGGAGGATACCATCGTCTGATTGGTCAGAGGCAGATTAACAGTCATTCAACAGTTGCGTGCATGAGAGTCAGGGAGGAGGTAATACTTTCTCCTCACTCTCAGCTCACTTTCTCTGTTCATTGGAAGAAGGCGTGCTGTCAGCTGCGGTGAGAGGGATTTGCTGTGTTATTTCCCGGGATGGTGTTGGGCTTTGGAATATTTTCTATTGTTTTTTGTGGTTAATTTAACACTGGTGTTATTTTTCTGTTTTTCCAGAGTTATGGATAGTTGGTTAAAATAGGGAGGCTCTTGTTTTTTGAAGCAAGGTGACATTTTTATTTAATAGGTGTAAGCTTTTATAGGCTGGTTCTGTTTATGAGCGATTCTCATCAAATGGCAGCTCGATTGATTATAGAATTATTTAGACTGCATGTTTCTCTCTTTAAAGATCAGAGTTCACACAAAACAGTCAATTGCTGGAAGTGTCACAGCTTTCGGAAAGGTCACGATAATGCCGTGTTCAAAGTTTCGCATATTCATTCAAAACGTGACTTTGCTGTTGAGTCATAGCACTCGCTTCTTGTTTTACTACACGTCAACTCTTGATAGATTGTCGTTTTGTGTATTCCCTATTTCTGGCACTTCCTCTATTGTAGATAAGCTGTGAAGTGTGTCAACAGCCAGCTGGTGGGCATAGACTGACTGGGGCTCCGGCTTTTTAGAGAGCAGCTAGCACAGACGGAGCAGAGCACAAAGACGCAGATTTTTCAGGCTGGCTTGGTGAACCTGCACACTTGCTTTTTGTTTGTTTGTTTTTTTGTTTTCTCTGGCGCCAGTCAGCAGAGTGCGAGAGGAAATATGTTTGAGTGAGTCTTAACACTGGATGTCAGGTCCCTCTGCTGATTGAGTGTTTATGTGCAGTAGCTCGTCTTTCAAATGAGCACCCTGTGGGCGGAGCTAGCGATGGGAACTACTACATTGCTGGAATGTTTTGCTTGCTCTCGGCGAGTACGTTGGCTACCACGCCCTCTTCGCCTTGTGAGACCTTTTCAGCCAATCCGCTGTTACCCTGAGACTGCGCCACCTCACTGCCAATGTACGTATGGAGACAGACCTGGTAGTTTTCCTCTGATGGGAGGGCACTACTTTTTCTTGGTTTTCTGCAAAGTCTACAAATCCGTGTACTGTATTAAAAAAATGCGTTTATTTTTCATTTTTATTGCTACATTTTTTTTTTAAAATTCATATTATTCCACCTGCAGGAGGGTCTAATTGAAGATATATTTCAGTTCAATGTTCACATCTTCCTGAGATCACAGTTTAATGCTTGTTGCAGATGATTTTTGTTTTGTATTCCAGCCACTCTCATTAACTCCTTCCTTCCTCGCCTTCTGGTTGCTCTCTTATTCTCACTTCACCC